CTGCCAAGTATTTGTTGATTTGACAAAAGAGAGGTACATTGTCACAAAGTGGTTGTGGGGTTGTTGTTGTTTTGTTTTTTTTTGGGGGGGGGGTTAAAAAGAGCGAGGGATCAATGTACAGATATCTGAAAGCGGATTTTAAACCAAGTGTGAGCCAAATTCTCAACAAACTGCATCAAAAGTGGCCAGAGTGGTTGAGAGTGCACGGAGATCATGTTCAGGCTTCCCCACATTATGCTGCGCTTGGCCATCGCCCGGGGTGCACTGGTGGGGCGACATGACATCCGAACCCAGGCCGCTTGCGACAGAGCTAAGCCTCCCGCACATGTCTTTCTCGACCCCAGCCCAGAAACTCGCCGTGGAGCAGAAGACTTGAAAAAGCCCAAAATGGAGAGGTCACGAGACCAGAACTGGGTGCATTTGGCAACACCGTAAGTGGTGGCGCCCATTTTGTTCAAAGGCACAAACTTTTTTTTCTTTTTAAAATAGCTTTTTTTTTCTCGAACGAGCAGCCAAACACTGCTGGACAAAGCGGACGTTTTAACTGCTTCGGTTGAGTAAATGTCTCTCCGCTCTCCTTCCCAAAACTATAATCTGGTTGAGCTCTTCGCCATTTCACGAAAAACACACGAGTATTCTTCCCATGTGAGAAAGTTGTTTCATCGAGTACCCGTTGGCACGTCTGTCTCCACTCACTAATAAGGCCAAGTTGAAGAAACCCGCCTCCTAAATCGTCTAACTTGTGTCAATGGGAGCGTAAAACATTAAATTGTAGTCAATCAATCATTTTTCTAAAATGGTACATGTACACGCACCAACGTTGACTTTAACCCTGAAAAAAAAATAACACTGCACTCCATCGAAAACCTCTTCAACTTAAATGCTCTCGACGGGGACTTTGGCCTTCAGTCTGTTTTCCATTAGGTCAAAGTTCGAGTGCTTGAGAGGATGAAAGATGGGTACTAAAGACCGCAAAGTGAACATAACAACGACTTTCTGTTGTCAACAACATACCCATGGTTCAAATGAGAGAAAACTCGGAGCTCTCACAGATTCCATTGGACCTAACAGGCTGCGACACATTTCTCAACAAAATCGTTTTCAGAACAGACGCACGCAGTCACTTACATGCAAAGGCAATAGATGTACGCATATGTGATACACACAAACACACACATACACTCTCTCTCTCTCTCTTTCTCTCTCTCTCTCTCTCTCTCACACA